GCCTGAACACATTTTTTCCTACTCTACTCTTCCTGCACATGCACACATAAGCCCATAGTGGAGTAGATTGTAGAATGAAAGCAGGTTTAAAGCACACAGTAAAAACAAACATTGTGTGCAACTGGCCCTCCAAAAGGTTTGGACAGAAACCTGTATGATTCTAACTACCACAACCAGGAGCACTATGGTAGTTAGACCAGATGAGAGATGTAGGCCAAAAACACCTGGAGGTTAATATTTTGCCTTTCACTGCTGAAGGAAATCATCATCATCATCATCATCATCATCATCCTCCTCCTCCTCCTCCTCCTTTCCACCTCTCCTCAAGGCCCACAGCAGGGTATAACACATTCAAATACAAAACAACTGAAAATACATAAACCCACAGTTAAAATACAATACTATAAAATCATTAAAATACACTCATAAGAGTTCATATACAGATTAAAAAGCCATGATTTAAAATTGACTGGATATGTCTGCCAGAAGAGATATGTCTTTAGTGCTGTTTTAAATGCAACCAGTGTTTTCAGCTGTCTCATCTCTTCTGGCAGGTCATTTCACAGTCTGGGGACAGCAGACAAAAAAGTCCTCTGGGAAACTGTTGCCAGTCTAGTCCTGGCCAGTTGGAGCAAACATTTCCCAGAGAACCTGAGTGTACAGGGTGGGTTGTACAGGTGAAGGCGATCCTGTAGGTAACCTGGACCCAAACCGTGTAGAGCTTTAAAGGTGATAACAAACACTTTGTACTTTTTCTGGAAACTGATTGACAGCCAGTGGAGTGCTTTTAAGATCAGTGTAATGTGAACACTTCTGGATGTACCCATAATCAGTCTGTCTGCCATATTCTGAACCAGCTGGAGTTCCTGGTACAAAGGTAGTCCAATGTATAGGACACTGCAGAAGTCCGCTTTGAGGTTACCAGCACATGCACTACCATCTTTAGGTCCTCCAATTCTAGGAAAGGGCGTAGTTGGCATATCAGCTGAAGCTGATAACAGGTACTCCTGACCATTGCATCTATCTGAGCCGACACTTGGAGGGACGGATCCAGGAGCATTCCCAAATTGTGAACACAATCTTTCAGGGGGAGTGTGACCCCATCCAGAACTGGTTGACACACCTCTAGCCCCAGATTGGGATCCTTGATAGTAAGCACCGTTGTATTGTCTGGATTCAGTTTCAATTTATTTTTCTTCATCCAGCCCATTACCTCTTCCAAGCATTCATTCAGAGGAGACACACTATCCTTCGCTGAAGCTGTTTTTGAAGGCATGAAGAAGTATATTTGGGTATCATCAGTGTACTGATAACATCTCACCCCTTGCCCCTGGATTATTTCTCCCAGCGATTTTATGTAGATGTTGAATAGCATCAGGGATAGTATGTGACCTTGTGGTACACCATATGACCTTTCCTTTTTTGAGGAGCAGCTATCCCCAAGCAGTACCATCTAGAACCTGGCTGAGAGGGAGGACCAGAACCATCGCAACAGAATGCCTCCAATCCCCAACCCCTTCAGGCATTCCAAAAGGATACCATGGTTGATGGGATCGAATGCCACTGAGAGGTCCATGAGCACCAGCAGGGATACTCTCCCCCATCAATGCTCAGGCAAAGATCATCCACTAAGCCCACCATAGCAGTTTCAACTCTGTATCCTGCTCTGAAGCTGGTTTGACATGGATCAAGGAAGTGTGTGTCATCCAAGACTGCCTGGAGTTGGAAGGCAACTGCCTTCTCATCACCTTGCCTTGGTGGTGCAGTGGTTAAATACCAGTACTGCAGGCACTCACTCATAGACCACAAGGTTGCGAGTTCAATACTAGCCAGGGCTTGGGCTAGACTTAGGCCTGCATCCTTCCGAGGTTGCTAAAATGAGTACCCAACTGTTGGGGGGCAATGAGCTTACAGTAGTAAACCGCTTAGACACTGCACAGCACAGTATGAAGCGGTATATAAATGAAGCTGCTTTGCTTTGCTTTGCAAAATGAAGCGTTGATACTAGTCTGTAATCATTAAGGTCCAGAGGATCCATTGGGTGCTTTTAGAGCAATGGTCTAACCACAAATAATCTTTTGGAAAGATTAACCTAGAACAGGGGCATCACTAGGTGGGTGTGAGAAGCGTGACATCTCAGAAATGGGTGACACCTCAGAAGTGGGTGAACACTTGGTGGGGTCAGGGATTGAGTGAGGAAGGGGCTGCTGGGTAGCAGGAGAAACTCATTGGTGCCACCTCTAGTTTGTTCTCCTTTACTACTTTGGGCTCGCGACATCAGCCAAGAGAGTCCAAGGAGGTGAAGTATGAGGTGGTGGTGAGCCAAGTGCAGCTGAGGCAAACACAGCTGGCAAAGGGGAGGGCAGTGGTGACAAGAGATGCAGGGCTGGTGCAGGGTGCAGCAGTGGCCATGGACTCCTTTCCTTCTTGCTGCCATCACCTCCCTTTATTGCCCAGCCAGCAGTCCCATCAGACGTGGTAGGAGTGGAGGGAGATGGCTGTGGGGTTTGCCAGGCAGCATGGGTGGGACAGGAAGAACTGTGAGGTGGTCAAGAGGAGGATGGATGGCAAGTGCATCTCTCTGCCTGTTGTTGCTTCTCCCTTCACCATCCTTTCCTTCCTGCTTTCTCTCCATGTTGTCTGCCCTAGAGTGTCTGCCTGACTGTGGGTGACAATGTGAGTTATGACACTGGGGTGACACCAACCCTAGTGATGCCACTGCCCTTGGACTGTGTTAACTATGAGGTGAATTTGCACAAGAGAATCCTGCTGCACAATACAAAATGCATCAAATTCCAAAATTTACTGACAATTCTAAACCAATGTCCCACCTAAGGTCATTTAATATGGGCAGCAAATAATGTATGACTCTAGTGGGCAAATAGCTGAGCTCAGCAGCCTACACATGTCTAGGCTCACCATATTCCACTTCCTCAAAACTGGGTATATAATTGTTCTGATTATGCAAATTACTCTAATATGAAATCTAATTATGCAACTTCATTATATAAATTGTATTTTTCCTTCCATTATGTTTCAGCCTTCATATCATCAGCCCTCCATACCCACGAATTCTGCTTCCACGGCTTGAAAATATTTTCTTAAAAATCAATAAAGCAAACCTTGATTTTGCCATTTTATATAAGACACACCATTTTATTTTGCCATGGTATATAATGGAACTTGGTGGATTTTGGTATCCTGAACCATATCCCATTGGATACCAAGGGCACACTGTAATTGCAACAGCTCTGAGATAACCACTACAGGATGCTGGGCTTGGAAGGGAAACCCAAGTTCAAATCTCTGCTTGGAATAGAATAGAATAGAATAGAAATATACCTCTCACAGACCTTCTGTACAAACCCTTCCAATGCTTCCTGCATTCTGTGACTTGCACCACTCATTCTTCATTCCCTCCTATCCCCTTACTTCACTTCTCTTGCTTCTTACACTCTGACACTCACACTATTCACTCTCTTCCCTTGGATAAAAGTTTGGTGCATACTTATTCCTAAAGAACAAATAGACCACAATTTCCTTCATATTTAGACTTCTAGAAGAGCTAGGTACTTCCTTATTAAATGAAATAATCTGTGATAGAATCTGTGCCAGGTAATGGTCCAAATGGGCACTGGGTGGTACATCAACTATCCAGGTAAAACCTAGCTAAACTAAGGGCATGGCAAGATCATGCCCTCTCAATAGGCCTTGTAAGGCCAATTCTTTCTCTCAAATTGTTTTTGGATTTATTTATTTTACTAAAAAGACCTCTTTAGGTGATATGGGGGTGATTTCATTAAATGTTGGGCCACCAATAGAAATGTCTTGAAACAGAAGGTATCTCTTGAAATTGCTTCTAGGTTTGGAAAACCTGGGCCTAAGTGAGCCTGCCCTCCCCCACAAAAAAACAACCATAGCAAAATTATCTTTCTGCCACATGCCTAAAAGGGGCTGGAAGAGCATTTTGAGGTCCCCAAAGAGTTTTAGGGCCACATGTAGATTCCTTTCCCCACCATTGATCTACTGGGGGGGGGGGGGAAGCGTGAAACATAATTGCTGCAGCTCATATCATGATAAGCCATTGCTTACTGAAAACAAATCTCTAGAGTAGGAATCCTCCGTAAAGGTATCCATTTCACACCTTTCCAGACTCATTGCAAGCCAAAATGTCCCTTGCTTTTAAAATTCACACATTTGTGAGGCCTCTGATGCTTTTCAGAGAAATAAAGTATACGGCACCCGATGTGTAGGTTTTTAAAATGCAGACCACTAAACATACATGCAATTGAAAAATACAGAAAAAAATATTTTAAAGTGTATACATTACAAAAGTGCATATGAAAAATGTGTATTAATTTCCATACTGGAAGAAAAGCAAAATCTTGCAACCTAACACTAAGAATGTTAGTTTTTCTTCTTTTGCTCAGAAAGAAGACAGGAAGGCAATAAGAAATACAGACAGGCTACAAACTGAAAGGCCTTTTTGGTCTGCATGCTTGCAAAACTCTGTGTTTCAGGCAGGGCTAGAAGGATCTGCAGTTCTTAATTTCAACTCAGAGCTCTCGGCTTTTTCTCTCTTAAAATTAAATCAAATTGATTAAGATTTCTCCATGTTAGCTTGAGACTATGAACAGTAAATAGCAGGATGCCCAAAAGGTCTTTTGGCTTGTTAAAGAGACACAGTAGCCTCTAGTGGTGATCTGCAACTCTTGCATGATGATTTTGAGGCATTATCTGTTGAAATGCTTTATGACATAATTTCACAGAACACAGCGTTGTAATGTTTTTCCCTACTACTCTCCTCCAGTTCCAACAAAACTATGCCACAATATTAAAACAAACAAACAAACACCACAGACATGAGGGTATATATGTCACCTGCGATTTAAAGGAAGACACGCATCATCATGCCCCCAAAAAGGTTATTTGCTCTAGCAAATGAGATATACAGTACTCAGTTATATGAGCTGTAGTACAAAATTCCATTTTTAATGGATAGCTAGCATGGTGTAATGGTTTGAGCATTAGTCTATGACTCTGGAGACCTGGGTTCAAATCCCTGCTTGGCCATGGAAACCCACTGGGTGACCTTGAGCAAGTCACACTCTCTCAGCCTCAGAGGAATGCAAGGGCAACCCCCCCATACAAACAAATCTTGCCAAGAAAATCCCAGGATAAGGTTTGCCTTAGGATTGCCATAAGTTGGAAATGACTTGAAGACCCACAATAATGATGATAAAACTCACCTTAGCTTGAAAGCCTGGGACAGTAGTCTTCCACTTCTTCCATCTTGGCAGTAGTGGGTCTATTGCAAATCACCTTAATTCAGATCACGATACAGTAGTAGTTTCCAACTCACCAGCTGAAGACCTAGGGCAATTGACAATACTTAGGGCTCTTTCACATGGTTATACTAGTGATTCCACTTTCACTGCCATGGTGCCATCTTTTGAAATCCTGAAATTCCCTCCTACAGGAGGTTTGGTTGGCCCCAGTTCTGTTCTCTTTCTGTTGGTTGGCAAAGGCAGGCTTTTGTTATTAACTGGTTGCTGTGGAAGAGTAGTTTAATGGGGTGGCAGCGGCTATGTACCATTTTCTTTTTTAGGATTTAAATGCTTCTGAACTTTTTCAAACAATTGATTTTCTATCTATCTAGAGAATATACTTGGCCCTTCGGCCAAAAAGGGTTCCAAGGCAGCTTACAAATGGTTAATTTGACAGTTCCTTGCCTCAGGCTTAAAATCTTTTAATTGCTTTAACTGTTTTGATTATTATTATTATTCTTTTAAGCTGTATTTTGATTTTTTTTGGTTATATGCTGCCTTGTGTCCTGTGTTGAGGAAAAGGCATGAAACGAAGTATTCTCCCAAATTACAATGCTGCAATACTAGCCATCTCTGCCAGAAAAATGCACTGAACTTGAACTAAACATACCAAATAGTTGTTTTGTTGGAATTTATGTTTTCCAGAGCAGCCTTCCCACTTCACAATCTACATACACACAGACAGATAGCGAATGAGAGAGAGAAAGAGAGAGAGCATTTACTCTTCTGCTCTTAAATTCTGAAGCCAAAACATCTGGCAGTAACTTTGATTTAGCTGACTTAATATGAGTAACATTGAGAAAAACACCCCAACACGCCCTGTGACACATTGGATAATATTGCCAGACCGACTTAACAGCATTGAAGAAAGTTTCTAGAAACTATTTTAAATATGTTTTTCTTTCACTGGTAGTTTTACATTTAACTACCAAGGTGGCTGGACTTTCCAAAGTTTTCCTTATGTAGTTGTGTTGTTGGCAAGCCGGATATATTTCTTCAAGACAGCACTTGTGCTGTGGTGAAATCTGAAGATTAGAGAATATTTGTCTGGCCGGCTTTAATCTAGCACATCCTCTTCGGTCATTTGTCTTGTGTGAAATATGAGTGTCCCTGAGTCACAGACAAGCACCCATAATGTTACTGGTGCTATGAAAGACATTTCCTTTCAAGCCTGCATCACTTTGTTGAGGCTTTATTTTCATAGGACTGAGTCCAGATTTAGTCATGGTTAATGGCACTGACATTGATGTCAGTGGAACCTAATCACAACTTATTTATTTCCAGGGTCTACTCTAATTAGGACAGTGTTTTAAATCAGAGGCTGCATCCGCACTACAGAAATAATCCAGTTTGATACCACTTTAACTGCAATGACTGTGTTATGGGAATTGTAGTTTTGAAAGAAATTTAGCTTTCTCTGTCAAAACTCTGGTGCCAAAACAAACTATAATTCCCAGAATTCCATAGCACTGAACCATGGAAGTTAGTGGTGTCAAACTTGATTATTTCTGCAGTTGGATACAGCCTAAGTTGTATTTCTCTTTGGAGAGTTGTTTTCACAAATTAACATTTTATTTCTTTTAAGAAATAAAAGTTTCAGGCAGGGGTGGGAAACATGGGGCCCTCCAGAAGTGATCGGACTAAAACTCCCAGCAGCCCAAGCAAGCATGGGCAACAGTGAGGAATGCTGGGAATTACAATTCAACAGCCAAATCATTTCCATCTCTCGTTTAAAGTATCAAAAAGTACATACATTCTGGCTACACAGAAATGTCTTACAATCTTGGGTTTTGGCTATTTCTTTGAATTCTATGTTGTTTTGAGGAAAATACCAAATAGGTGTTTCACCACTGGCACCAACAGTAATGGAAACCTTGAACCCTGTCTATCTTTGCTTTAGGCAAAGGGATTTTGTAGCACCTTGTAGAGACTAATATCTGAAATAAGTAAGTTGGTGGCATGAGCTTTCGTAGACTTGAGAGCCTACTTCTGCAGATGCTTGTCTAGGAAAATTATAGTACCAGCCTCCCTCTTTCAGTTTGTCTCAAAGGTGCTACAAGATCCCTTTGCATACAGATTTTCCAGACTAACATGGCAATGTCTTTGAATTCTATCTTTTCTTTATTAAAACTTTGAAATATCTTTTTATAGAGCTCCTTGCTACTAGATTGTCCCTTAACCTACCAAAATTAACCCTTAACGTTAAAGAACTCAATATTCTGGTTGCTATGGCAAAGGCATCAACATTGATGCCATAACTACACATCAACATCATCATCATCATTAATACTCATAATATACAGTCAAGCTGAAAAAACTAACATTTACAAAAAATAATAATTATAATGTTTACAAAAGAGAATAAACAATTGTTTTGTTGTTCCCTTTATTCATATCCCATGTTTCTCTTGGGCTGGAAGTGGCTTACAGATTTAAACAGATGCAACAGAAGTACAAGCATACAAAATATTATAAATAAAATGTAATCAAACTAGTAATAACAATTTAAAACATGTGTTAAAAGCATACAATCAGTTTTAAAAACCAGTGCAGCACCCTATTAAAGTCCTTATATATATATATTTTAAAAAAACAGCCAATACAAGGTTTTTTTATATCTAGAGTATAAAGTTACTGCTAGAGCCAGTGTGATGTAGTGGTTTAAGCATTGGACTATGAATCTGCATAATCTATAAATTTTCTGGCCAAGGCTGTTGGCACACTGCAGAATTTATGCAGTTTGACACTGCTTTAATTGTAAGCTGCCCCGGTTGCTCTGCAGAGGGGCAGGGTAAAATAATAATAATAATAATAATAATAATAATAATAATAATAATAATAATAATAATAATAATTGTCATGGCTCCACCCTATGGAATCCTGAAATTTGTAGTTTGTTGTGGCACCAGAGCTCTATGAGCATCCTTGCCATTCTACCAAGGAATCCAAGAATCTTTCTATGCTTTCTATATTGAATTTATATGCCATCTTTCTCCCACAACTGGGACTCAAGGCAGCTGACAAGGTGACCTAAAGGGACACAGAAACAAACAAACAAACAAACAAAAAAAGGTGAATTTTAATATTAATAGACAAATAAAGATTGTAATATTAAAATACAACTAAATTGAAATTAATTGAAAAACCAATAGTGAGAAGGCCTTCTCACTATTTCCCCGCTGTTCATGAAAGGCTAAAAGGGGGGCAGGCTTACTCCTTTCCACTGCTTGGCCACAGCTGTGTTTTTTATAACATTTAAAAACACCAATTGTTTTTAATAACACCTTATTTCAGTCCCCCTTTTTTGAATCTGCATAGTCTCTAAGAAAAATTCCCCAGAGGTCCTCATATTAAAGTTCAGTAGGAGCATAACAACGACAAAGTTATGACGCAACTGCTGTTCCCAATATGTTACTGTTGAACAATTCCCCCTTCACAAATATCCCTCTTGCAAAAACAGCATGTTTCTGAAGAATGAATGCTCCATGCAGCCAAACCTGACTAATCTGCTGCGTAAACAGATGATTCAACTATGGATTGCTGAAGATTTCAGTATTCATTGCAGCCCAAAACCCACATCACAGATAAGGCAATCACAAAGCAGAAGTTATTTAATTTGATAAATGCGTGTTTCCAAAGTCCAATGGGAGAATGAGGTACTGAATCCTAGAGCATCACTGCTTAATTGTATGGAATGTATTGGATTAATAATGTTTTGATGCAGTCAGTAAAGATTTATTCAGTTCTGAGAAAGTGTAGAGCTTTTGTGGACATTTGTTTGCAGATTCCTTTTATTATAGCGTGTGCTTTGGATGCAGCCTTTGGTCAACCTCTGTTCATATGTTTCTACTGCTGGCTTTTTGGTGTTCTTCTGCTCATTCCCCAAATAAGAAAATATAATCTCTCCCAATCATTTTTGCTTAATAACTATATAGTGGGCCCTTGGTATCTGCTGGGGTTTGGTTCCAGGAACCATGTGGATACCAAACTCCATGGATGTTCAAGTCCCATTAAATACAATTGCATAGAAAATGGTGTTCCTTATATAAAATGGCAAAATCAAGGTTTGCTTTTTGGAATTTTTGGAATTTATATTTTTTGGAATATTTTCAATCTGTGGAGGCTGGAATCCATGGATATGGAGGGCTGACTGTTGTGTTGTGTGCCTTCAAGTCTGACCCATGGTGACCTAAGCCAAACCTATCATGGGGTTTTCTTGGCAAGACCTATTCAGGGGATTTGCCATTGCCTTCACCTGAAGCTGAGAGCATGTGACTTGCTCAAAGCCACCCAGTGGATTTCATGGCTGAGTGGGGGACTGAACCCTGGTCTCCGGAGTTGCAGTTCAACACTCAAATCACTACACCATGCTGACTCCACAATGTATTTACCAAGTTACTTATAATGGAATAAACATGTTTACTAACCTTTCTTTCTGCCACTGTCATAGTTTGCCACAGAGACAAGAGGCAACTGCCAGGGACATCCAACAAGTCTTATGATTCTAATAAAACCCCTATTTCCTAGGTCATTGAAGAAACCAATTCAATTCAAACTAGTGGGACCTGTAATACCATTTGCTGCTTCTTGATGTTCCAGTCAGTTACTCATTCTCTTTTCCCAAAATCTACGTTTCATTCCCTCCTGACCCTGCAACAATCAGTATACATTGCACTGTTGGGGTGTCATGCTCCCCCCTAAATCTTATTTCCTAAATCTGTTTTATACTTGAAGGGAATGAAGCAT